CGGAAAGCCGTTTGATCAATAAGAATGCTTTAAGTGTAATGGTAATCCTGGTGATCTGGCTGATACCTCTGCTGGGTTGCCGTTGCATGGCTGTGAGTCTCTGCACTGGCTGCTCGGGGGGGCAGGCTGCCTCTGCATGTAGCTCTTCATGCCCTGCAGGCCTTTCCCCTGCAGCACTTTCTGAGCAGCAGACTGGCAACTGTGCATAACAGCCCCACGGTCAAACCAGGCCTTAATAGACGCACGTTCGCCTGTTAAAAGAGTGAAAAAAAGCCGGGAAATAGTAAGGAAGGGAAAAGGAAGGAAGAAAAGGGGGGGGGGGAAAGTAGACAAGAAATGTAAAGGGTTGCATAAGGGATCATTATAACATAGGAAACAAGATATAAGACATTTGGGTAATTTAGGCATGAGCGTTTATTACTACTTACCCAATGCTAGTGAAGCGTCAGATAAAACAGGGTACAGCGCAGCCCACAAAACAACATCAGCAACTGAAACAGCTTCCTGAAACAAAACACATCTTAATAAACATATATTTTTAAACATTAAACACAAATTATAATTGACATTTCCATGTCTCATTTACTTGTTATTCCATCAAAAACCAAAATGTTTGTTTGATTTCAAAGCCCTAAACAATACAGAAAAAAAGGACAATTTTCAGCATGACTGTTTTTCTGTACCTGCTTCTCACTATCTATGGACTCCATGTACTGCCTCACTGTGTGCTTACCACACTGTTCTTTAGCTTTACTCAGGGCTCCTCCAAGCCATGCCAATTACCAAGAGACTTCACAAAACACATTTCTGTACACATTAAATATATGACAGACGCAGATGACTTGTTGCCTCAGGGGCTGCGAATACCACAGGGAACTGATCCCACACCAACCCCCCCACACTCAGGCACTTCTGCAACATACAGTACTGGAGCGCTTCCACCAAAAAAATCGTTTTAACTTAAAAATGTATCACTAGCTCAACATCAGCAGCTGAAAAAAAGAAAAATAAATGTTGCCTGAGGAGCCTGATGTGGCACAGAGGAGACTCAGCTGAGCTTCCATAGAGGCATCATGAACGTTTGACTTGATCATATGTTAAAATAGCCGTAAAAAGGCATTGTTTGAGTGAGTAGGTTTGTCCTTATCTTATAAATGTGATCACGCCATACATAGCAAGTAAGTGTTAATAGAAAAATAAGTACTGCAGTAGCTTAACAGGAGATGTTGATGCTGTACCCCGGTTAAATATGGCGTGTTCCCCTTGCTCAGGCTTTGCTCCAAGTAGTTTAGTGGCCCCTGGAGGACCTTGGACACCTCTGAACCTTGTCCCTGCACCACTGCCAAGTGAAGGGCCTGTAGCAGAGCGGGCTGCACAACAACAACAAAACAGAAATAATTAGAATTGATTGAATGACACTAGATCAAGCAGTAAACCAACGAAGCATGACTGATGTTAAACAATTCATTTTCTTAAGCCCTACAGAGCAAATTGTTCTTTTGAGAGCATGAGCTTTAATCATATAGCTGCATGGATGTATGTCCCGTTGGCAACACATTGAGGGACAGTAAGAGGATTCTGCATTAGAAAACGTTCAAAGGTAGGAACTAAAAATAGTTTGCATCTCAAAGAGGTTTAGTGTTTTATACAACAGATTACCAGCAAACTCAATTATTTTATGTAGAGCTTACCTGAAGATCTGTGGCCTCCCATTCAAGCCACTGGTTGCAAAGTTCACTGGAGTCTTTTCCACTTACTTCAAACAGGTATCTAAGGGAATAAGGGGAACGTGTGTCAAAGAGATGCTGTTTACTCACACTTCAAATATATACAAATATCTTTAACATCGTCAACTACATGAGTTAGTTACAATGTGCCTCAAAATGTAATTAAAGTCTAGACATTATAAATGGAAAGTACGCAAATGTCCCTGCTATTATAGCCTGTTTCATTTTATAGTGTAACTATCCGATTTATCATTAATTTAATATGACATGGAAATATGTTTACATTTTACAATTTACATCCCTTCTTTGGCTTGCCCATGTTTTGAGATATCCATCTCAAATTTCATTAGCAAGGCTCACAGATTTATAATATGAGCTGAAATCTGCATGACTAGATACAAATTGAGATAAAAGTGTAATTTGTTTTTGATCGGATTCTTATGGGTTTTAGATATCTGAAACGTTATAGAGAGGCTTGGTTAACAGCCTTGATATTCATGCCAACTTGGCAGGAGGGTCTATAGTCGACTGACCGGCAGATGGCATTGGAGCTGAAAAGATGCAGTCCACTGGGCAGGAGAAGGGCAGGCAGGGCTGGACGGCTAAGGAAGGGCACCACTCTCTCTAAAAGAAAATAACAGATCACAATGTTTGTTTAGATGCATCACAGCAAATACAAAACACACAACAAGAAATAACATTGCCTGGTAGATGAGCTTGTTCTTCCTAGGCAGAGATTATATTAGAATCCAAAGCTGTAAGGAGAAGTAATAACAACACAAGACTCCTCATATGCATCAATGATAATCCTGTGATCAAATTCTTAGCCTCAATTCTTACTAGAATAACCACTCGAGAGCACAAAGGTCACTTAGAAGGTCCCGGATTTGAGCTTCTTTATCTGGAATGTATCACTAAATGAGGGATTGTGATAATATATTTGTTTTGAAATACTGTTAAATAATGTTGTATTGACTCTACGCTCAGGTAGAAGAACAGTACTGTATATTTCCACACATTTTAAACAACATATATAGTTAAATGAATGATACAATGTACTTCCATACACCTAATACTGTTTGTATAGATAACATATCTCTGAGTCCACTTCATTCACACACTGAGGCTGTGTGCCAGATGGTACTGGTTTTTCATCTCTGATCAGCTCCCACAGAGGACTAGCACACATCTGGAACTGAAGAGAGTGAAGCCTCTCCCACATGCCTGAGACAACATAAGCCCAAAGCTGGAATGTACCATTTAATTAGAATCTAATTCCTTTACACAACAGCCCCAAGATGAAGTTCCAAAGACAATGCGTCTGAGAGAAATAGCCCCTGTCGCAGTAGTACTCAGAGTTGTAGCAGTAGTTAAATGGACTCAATGCAAAAATAAAATCACCATCTAATGATCATTATTAAGCTTAGCCTAGGGAAGACTACTGGCATTAAACCACTCTTTGGACAACATTTTCAACTGTGAGTAATAGGTACGATCGAAAGCCATTAATGGTGATTTGGTTAAAATCAATATCAAGAAAAGTTCAACGTGTTTACTTTTGTCAAAGTCAGAACATGTTGGCCCAATTTGTAGGCAAACCTTTTTTTTTTTTTGCCATGATGGCCTAATCTGCTCTCATATATAGTGCAAAATAAGACTTCTTATGATATTATTAATACTACTACTACTACTACTACTACTACTACTACTACAACTACTTATAATAATAATAATAATAATAATAATAATAATAATAATAATAATAATAATGATAATATCACCACCTTTACTAGTTTATAAACACATTAATGAATCAATATAAATGATCAAGTAAGATAATGTAAGTTATACTGAAACCGACCACTCTCCACAATGAGTACTTTTATTTGCATCACATGAATGCACATTTTGTAACATCTTGTGAGTCATTCCTTATACTCCATAAGGTGAACCTTGCACCTTCTTCTGACTATTTTTTACATTTCTGCACAATACTGTCTCATTAAAACTACAGTAACATTGTTTTACTGTTTATTCCAAAATAGTTCTGCATTGGCTCGTTTGATTACGATGTGTATGCATGCACTATTATAGACAAAAGCAAATTCGTTGTATTTGTAAACCTACTTAGTAATAAACCTGATTCAGATTTGTTTGTAATTAAAATATATTTGAATCCTTATACTATTGTATTTGTATTAATATTTTGAATGAAGGACTTTAACATGTAACAAGGACGTGTCTACACTGTTGTTACAACGTTAACAATGTAACGTAAACCCAACCCAGGTAAACCAGGACTGTTCCAGGCAGGAGGAGTTTAGCCTAGCTACTGTAGGCTGTCTACTGTACATGTAAGCTCTACACCTGTATGCACTGCTAAACAAAGGCTACATTGGGCTGCACTAACAAACGGTACTACAGAAGACGAACAAAGCAGTGATGTGCAGTAAAGTAGATTTCTAGCAGCTTCTCAAATGCTACGCGCTGTCAGTCAACAGTGATTGATAGTTAGCATTTGGTCAGGACTAGGGCTAACGTTAGCTTGCAGTTAAACAGTACACATCAGTTACCACACACATGCGATTCAAACGTGATTAAACCACACATTATGATTAGTTATCAGATATAAGCCACCCTCACAATTAGATATACAGTCTGGTGTTCAGCTAACCATGCTCCCTTACCTTCGTGGTTGACATACTGGACATCACACTGAACTCCACTCACTTCTACAGCTGCTAACACTTTCAGGCAGTGCGGGTTGCCTTCACTGACGAATAGTTTCATCTGGATGTTTGTAGCCACAGTGTTATATCGGGACTTACTTGGCCTTAGTGCTGACAATATATTTGACTTTAAAACAAGACAAGTAGCAGCTGGTACTGGTTGTAACTTTGCCGGTGAGCGTAGTCCACACACGCTGATGCAAGAAGTGTTTGCTCTCTTACAAATGGCGGAGATGTAGTTTTTTAGTGGTGTCTGTGTCGTTCACGGAAACGATAAAGGTCTTTCAAATAAACTACATTTCCCACAAACCATTTCCAAAAGCGTAATGAATGAGGTCTGCTTGTTTTTATTCCACTCTAGCACCGCCGGGCGGGATTCGATTTGTGTGGTCCTTATTACACACCGGGCGACGCTCTGTTGTAAAACGTGCGCACCACAGAACCACCTGTAATCTTATTGGTTCTTTATAAAATCATATTGCGCCGCTGTAGCCAATCATATAACAGTAAATCCAAAAAGCGAAAGCTATTTTTTATCCGCTTAAAGCGCCAGGAGGATGTATCATATGGGCTGCAGCGGGCAATTTAGTGCCAATCTCATCCACGAGTGTTAATTTGTAATAGTGTACCGTGAAGTTATTCTCTGTGCTTACGTTAAGCTAAATACTGTAAAGTTAATCATTTGTATTCATCCCACGAGAAACGCGCAACTCCTGCTGTCTCTTCAGTTCACTCCAAACAACTCAATTGAGCTGTCATCACGTCGCTGCAAGGTGAGTGATGTCTTCCTCAGATGCAAAAACGAGATTTTATCCACAGTTGTTTGGTCAACAAATTGTTTTCTGTTGTGAAATATCACATCACATTTACTGCACGAAATGTTTACTTCAAGATAATGCGCTTCAGTTGTTCGCTCAACATCTGTATTTGTTCTACTGTCGTATTTGTGCAACTATAGATAGCTATGTTTTTGTTGAGTATCATTAGATCACAACATTGAAATATCCTTTGGATTTATTTAACTTATTCTTTCAATTTTTTTATTTTTTTTTATCACATGCCACACCTGAATACAGGTTTAAAATAATCCCTTGTCCTCACTCAAACTAATGACTCATTCAGAATGAAAGTGTCACAACTCATCTCATAGCTTTAAGATATTTTTATTGAACTCTTAACATTCTGTACATATATGGAAGTTGTTGGCTTTATTTTGAAATGTATGTTTTGGATTGATTACATTTAAAGAAAATTAAGCCCAATATGTAAGATCACAATAATTAATATCATATTACTATTTAATTTGTGCAAACCAGTTGGAAGGCCTCATATTTCATGTTTAGTCAAATGGGTCCTGCCTCCATAAATAGGTCAGACTGTACCTTTTGCAATTACTAAAATAGCAAGCTATACTGTTTTCCAAAACAACTCATTATATTTCCACACCATGGTTTCAAACCACATGTAGCCCTGCACTGCCACAACCGCTCGAGCTCAGCTGGTGCACTGCACGAGAGCCACAGAGGGCCACAAGCCTAACCTGACCACCTTTCACTGTAACGCTGGAACTTTTTAGAGACTTTTGAGAGTTTTGCTGTGATATATGTATTCAAGATTGAAGGGTTTTATTGTCATATGCCCAGTAGCTACAGTGTAGTAATGGCAATGAACATCTCCTCCAACAATGCAACATATTATAGGACATAAGATACACAAAATAAAAAAATAAAAACTGTGCAAAATGAAACAGAGTAGGATAGATTAGAATAAAAATAGTATACTGTATGTATGCTCTAGTTGTTTAGAGGATTAATAATTCTCACATATTTCATTACTACAATGGAACTGACGCATGACCTCATTTTGTTCATCTCCATTTCCCATGTCTTTAATTGTCACAATGATCAAAATTGCTGATCTCAACACTTTACACAGGACAGTCCTCTAGTCGTGGAAAAAATATTTGCATGCTAGTGCAAGCGAGTTTTAGCCCTTACATCCTTCTCATTGCATGGACGGGTTAACCACAGGGTGTGATGGAAACAGTTTGACGCATTGCATTTTTGCTGTTTTATAATCTTTCTTAAGTCCATGCAAAGCAGGAGATTTGCTCCCCTTTTCGCCAGCCTGTGACGACACACGCTTGGAAGATTATTCTTCAGTCTCAACTTTTACTGATTAAAAGTGCCCTGTCCTATGTGCAGTATTAGCAGGAGGGTTACAAGTCCGCTGTAATTATAGTGTGCTTCACCGACTGCTGCTGTGGATGCAGTGTCAAAGACAGATTTGGACACTGAAGCTAGTCAGATTATTCTGCTGCTTCGGGGTATTTGAGAAAGTCTGGTGTGAGATGTGTGTGTTTACAGTGACAGCTACAACAAACGTGTGTCATATGATCCTTCAAAATAAACACATCTGACAGATGTCGTTTTTTCAGATCCAGTCATCTGTTGATGGATCTGTATTTGGGATAAACTTGCTGTCATTTTCAATTTCTGTCAATGCAATCCGGTTTTACTAGTTTCTCAAGTTTTCTACCCCCTGACCTAATTTATTTGTCACAAAAGAGTTCTCATGACCCAAAGTTGTCATGTGGAAAGTTTCAAGAGCTAGGGGGAGCCTCAAACAGATTATATAATGATACACTTTAAGATATATTTACAACAGCTCTGAAATAAAATATCCATCCATTTTTTTGTTTGGGGTTGGTGATTTAGTTGTGACAACTAACAAAGTTACATTGGTCATTCTCAAGTTTTTAGTGCTTAAATCTGGACTTCTCTTTTCTCACCCCACTGTATTGTCCATATGAAAGCAGCTTACCATGTCATTTTGTACAGTATGGTAGCTCCACCTACCGCATCTGTGCTCTGTTTCTAATCCATTTTAATCCTGCATTTACTTAGTATCTGTGCAATGATTAGTGCTTTCATCAGCTTGTACTCTGCAAAGAACCACAGACATTGAGAAGATGATGAATATTAGCCTATTGTCATACAGGGCTAAAACACCACCCACTGTCTACGCTCTTTCACATCATTTGAAATAAAAGAAAGTTTGCATCTGAGCTGAAATGATAACTTGAATTTATGATAGAAAAATAGATGGCAAATATTTTGATAATTAATTAATAATTGCATTTGTTTGTAATAAGAAAACACCAACAAAAACAGTCATTTTTAAACAGTTGTGACAACATGAATATAATTCATTTTACATTGGAAACCTACCCTTGGCTCTCCTAAATAAGTAACTTTGTCAATAATCAAGGAAACAGTCAACAAATTGATCATCAAAATGAAACCATGATCACATATCAAGTGTGTTCTAATTTATTTTACAATGTAGTCCCTTATTGTTATTTGTGTAATTGTTACAGAACAAATTACCCCCAAATGCTGTGAAGGCATCAAAGCAGTGTCTGCGTGTGTGTTTCTTCTCTATAGTATTTGCCTTAGGAGGTTTAGCCTCTCTTCCTTGTGCCCCAACAGTATCGTGCTCACTCCGGCTGCACAGGGCTGAAAGTGGGTCTTTGACTCGCCTGATAGCTTTTGACAGCTCACTCTCATCCCCGGTGGATCAATGGAGCTCAGCGCTCTTCATTAGAAACATCAATGTACCGCACATTCCCACAGGCTCAGCATCAAGCCTTCAGGCCAGTCAGAGAGAGAAGCTTTATTTTGTTATTCCCCACAAGAACCTGCTTGACTTCTGTGTGACATTTTATTTTCTTCAATTGAAGAATATTGTGGGAAAATGGTGAAGCAGGAATACCTCGATATTTGATGATTTTTAACAGGCACATTTTGGTCAAACATCACCTTGAATGTAAATAAAACATGATTATGTTTATTTTGGATAATAAGTCATTGCTACTACTGAAACAATGAGTTAAGTGGATTGCCAAACATTTTTATAATAACTGAATCATAATCTACAGTTATTTTTCAAGCACAAACATTCACTGACTACAACTTCTTGCTGCTTTTCTGTGTTTTTATATGATTGTAAATGGAATAATTATAGGTTTTTGGAACAAACATATTTCATCATGTGCAACGCCTATGACAGGTTAATTTGTTAAACAATACAACAATTGTAATCGTGGCCCTTCATTCCTCTTGGAAAGCATGTCATAGATATATACCCTCAAATACTAATTAATATTGTTACATATTTCTTGCTGTATTTTCTCATACCTAATAAAAGCTGCTTATTAAAATAAGAAGCATTTTTTCATAAGCTTATTTCAGAGAGCGAAATAAGCTTACTATTATTCAACATACTTGCAGCATGAATTTCACCTTCTATTTTTTTCTTTAAAATGCTTGAGCTTATTAAAAATGTGATGCTTTAAAATTCCCCTTTAGCAATCCTGCACTACTTTGCCTGAGTGGAAAACGCTGGCCTGTCTGGTGGTTGTTTATATTCAAATGGGGGAAATGAGAACTAGGGCTGAACGATTAATCGATTTTAAATCGAAATCGCGATTTTAAATGATGCGATTATCAAATCGCAAAGCCTGCGATTTAAAAAAAAACTTTTTATTTTTATTTTTTTCTTCTTGTGTGTCAGTCATCCACACCAATCAGAAGTGCTGTGCTCCACATGTACCAGCCATTGTTAACCAATCAGAAGTGGCCCATGATAGAAGGTGATAGACAGATTGATCCAATCACCTGCCAAGTATTTTTGAAAGTGCCTGCCCTTTCCAAATGGCTTCCAATGGAGCTTTCCTAGATGGTTTGGTGAAACAAACCATCTGAGTCAGGTTAGTAATGCTCCATCACATGTTTTACATCTATTACAGGGTGAATCTTAAACTGAAGCTTGACTTTAAAGCAACCCAACGGAAGTTTCATGTAAGTTTAGTTCTTTCACTCGTAGCTCGGGCTGCGGGGGTGCTAGAGACGGGAGCACGTTGATACGACCTTCCTAGCCGGAGATATGGCCGCATTTTACAATAAACTTCCGTTGGGTCGCTTAAAAACAAATATCGCAAATCGCAATCGCAATATCTGTCAGAAAAATCGCAATTAGATTATTTCCCCAAATCGTGCAGCCCTAATGAGAACTTGAATATTATTCAAGTGAGCTCTCTGAAGAAGTTTGCTGTGTGTCGATGCAGGCTGCAGGGTTCATTGTAAACACAAGTGTTGCATCAGCAAACGTTTGAAATGATGGCATCACACACATGTTGTTATGTGCAACAAGAAAGGAATAACACACATAGTGCAGACACTGGAGAGGCTAGTTGGTCACAGAGGTTGTTGTCATGATGATAGTAGAGCGCATGAGCCAATGGCTGCGCTAATGTCATCATCTGCTTTTTGATTGGCTCTCAATTTACACAAGCTAATCACTGAAGGAATCCAGCCCACCTATTTAGTCACACACACACAAAGCCTTATACACACACTCATAGAGAAATGCATTGATACACACGTTGACACAGGCAGCTAGCTGTCACACTGGGAAAAGCAGTGTGTCTCTCTCTGGTCTGATCATCAATAATGCATGGCTTTGGGAGGATGAAAGGCTGTTTTGGCTTGAGGCATATGTCTCATATGGAGAGAGAGACATCAGCAGTAGTAGTTATAACTGTACATCCATAGAAACCGTGAGTGCTCCTTCACATGGCCGTCCTCAGTAGAACTGCATATCAAGCTGGCAGTGAACTGATGTTAGGCTAAATGTTTAAATTAATTAATTCATAAATATCAGGAAAGACATTTGTAGGTCTTTATTCTAGGTTGTTTTTGTCTGAATTCTA